CCTAGCTCAAAAGAACACAACAAAATTTCCAGGTAAACATTTGAAAGATCCTGCCTCTTCAGGATGATTGGAAGTATATTTACTTGGAAATCTGATCTTTTTGTTTCAAAGAGATTTACTAGCATGTAAATTATAGCAGCTGGCTATCTCACTGTATTCAATGGATGTTACACACAAGTATGCATTGGACTGAGCCCTGCATCCTGAATTATATTTTCTTTGATGTCCCATAGGGACTGCACTATTGAGATATTTAACATCTGTAATTGGGTTGAATTATCTGGGACTAGAGTTGGGAGCCAAATTTTGAGGTTAGATATTCCTACCTGCTATTTTCCTGAAAACCTGCCCTGTAGTTTCACAATTCCCAGCTGTTGCAACCACCGTATCTGAAAGCTATCAGTTTGGCAAGGCTCATCCTGGATCATGTCATCCCCTTCCTCAGTTCACATTATCTAGGAAAGACTAGCTGAGATAAGAAACAACTAAGCGGGGTATGCTTGCAGGAGCTCCTTCAGAGCACCCCCAAATCCCACTGAGAGAAGGGGGACACCCAATCTCCTAAGTGAAGCAAGTCCTACCTTCCTTTTCTTTCAGATTGATCCAAAACTTTCTCAGGGAATTAACAGTGCCTTGCTATACAGACCTATCGCAGAGATGCAAACCCTATTGAACTCAATAAGATGCAAACCCCATTGAACTCAATAAGATGCATTCCTAGTTTGGCCAACACAAGAGAGGATCACAGAAGACTATGTTAATCAAGGCCAATCAAATAACTCAAACTGCACGAATCCTGATATTCTTTCCAGAGGCCGATCTCAAGCAGATACCCTTCAAAATAAACCACATTGATTTCCACGAGATGGTCTTCCCAGACCACCTTCAGCTTGCGTGATTAAACCCCATTGATCCTGGTGGCGGAGAGTTAAGTCAGCTCTCCTCTGCCTGAAATCAATGGGATTTAAAGAGATCTTAAGTACCTCGGCTGCATCCAGTTATAGACACCCATAGCTGGGATGGCTCTAAAGTCATCCAGAGAGCGGATGACTTATTGAGGAAAGGCGCTTAGTACTTCCACCCGGCCCTAGACTTTATTTCTAGATCTGATTGACAAGGCATGATGGATTGCTCCTTCTTCAATTCTGCTAAAGTGCACCGTGAGAAATGTTGGGTATTTGGTTAATTGCGCTTAGAAGCACGGGGCGAATGCCCTCTGCTAAGAAACAAATATTTAAATAAATAGCAAGGATCCTCCTGGCAAGGTCGACGCGTCTGTGGTCGCTTTGCATCGCTTTCATTTATTAGCAGTAATAGACGCACGAAAGGCGGCCCTGAAGTGTAACGCTGCCGCTTACGTGAATTTTGGAAAGAAAAAGGAAAGGCGGGGGGTGGGGTGCATAATCATAGCGGAATGAGAAATTAAAACCTCGGAAAGGCCGTAGGGTGTTTTTTTTTAAATAAAAACTGGCCATTCAAGAGAAGGTTTCTCAAAAGCCTGGGAGACGGAAGATTAACGCGCCGTCTCCTTACAAACCCGCACAGTCCAACTCCGGGAGAGAAAAGAATGATTGTAAACAGTCTCCCGAAACAAGACCCAATGTCCCGTTTATAGCTAAACGCTCCGGTTAGTTCTTCCCCGGAGTCAAATTGGGGGTGGGGGGGTGGGGCACGAGTGGAGGATACGGTGTGGGGGTGGAATCTTCTTTGTCACACCGCCTGCGTTCTGCTTGCGTTTGGAAATGCATGGCAACAACGTAGTGTTGCTGTTTTGAAGCCATAGAAAAATTATGCAAATCAACCCCAAAGCAAGCGATCGCCTTTTGAAATGGTAATGCTCTATTCATTAAGTACTTATTGGAAAACTAGCCGCTTTCCACCTCCGCCCCCTTCAACCACCACCCTTCCCCCATTTTTTTTTTTTTTAGTTTTTGCAAGAAAAGCAACATTATCTCTTTGGTGGAAGAGCAAAATAATGAGAAACGAAGAGGAATATGACTTGGGGTATTTAAACTGTCTAGATATTTGGAGGGGTTTTCCCCCCACTTTGATTATTCCCTTTAATGTATTGGTAATTCTTTGCTACACCCGGGATGTGTTTCGATCCCATCTCCGACTCCGAACCCGGTGACTGTAAGAATCCAGTTTCAGACACATTATTAGCAGGAAAATACCTCGGGAATCGCTGGAACCTGCTCCTAAACCCACCCTCTCTAACCTTCTCCCGGCAAACCCCCCCCCCCCCCCCCCCCACACACACACACACACGCACGTGTTCCATCACAATTTAATTCCCATCTTGCACCGATACCCAGCAGGTACAGGAATGATGGGAATTGTAGTCCAGCATACACAGAAGAAGCAATGGGGAAAACCACTCTGGGTGAAGGGTTTGGGGCTGCCGGCCAGGGTGAGGACGAAGAACAATTGCATTTCCCCTCCCCCAATTGTATTTGATCCTAATTGTCCCATTCGGTAATTCTAAAAGGGACGGAGAGGACAAGGGCGTTCCTCTTTGTACCCCATTTCCCACACGACTGTTGACTCCAATTCGAGATTTCAAGACGAATATTTTTGACGAGATGTTAAAAAATGAAAATAAAAGACACGAGCGGCTCATTCCTTTTTTTTTTTGCTTAGTGTAGAAAAGGAAAGCTGTGGAGGGCTCCCAATTCGTTTTGCGGTGCCCAGGGCCAAGGGCTTCCATAATAAGGAGACTCTTGAAGCGGGGAGGCTGGGGCAGGGGTCTTCCATATAGAGAGCACAACTCTTGGCAAAGACAGCCATTCGACTTTTCGGTTCTAAACGTTACAATCGACAGGTTGATTTAATTCCAAAGAGCATTCAAATCGCGGGAGTTCTAGGTTTAGGGAAAGTTATTGCTGAGCTTATGCTTCATCTTAAAGTCTAAATTCATCCTGATGGTATTGCTTATTTGCTGTTACTTTTTAAAATACACCTAAGCTACAATTTTATGAGCGGGTGGATTTACTCCCCGACCATTGCACTGCAAAAGAAAAGTGACAATGATCTTCCAGCAGTCAAATGTAAGAGAAGTGGAGAGAAGTAAAAAAAAAAAAAAAAGATCGCTAGTGCATCTCGAACCCAAATTTCCCGCTTTTGTGCGAAGAGATAGAAAGTGCCGAGCACCGGGTTCCGTGGAAGTTAGAAAGCAGACGGCTATTAAAGCCGCTTTAGCTCCAATCCCCCAAGTGCGCGGATTCGATTTGCCCCATTCGGTAATCGATCAGACTCGAGGGAAGCTTCAGCCACAATTTGTAAATCCACCTGTCACTTTTAAGGGTGTTTCCTCCCCCCACCCCACCCCATGAAAACCTCAGGTCACCCTCCCCGCCATCTGCTGGATGATGAAAGCAAATTGTTGCTTCCGAGCCGCATTCGGCGACCAGGCGGGATGGAGGTTGTGGTGTTCTTTAGATCTTTACCCAGAGTTGAGTCACTGAGCGGAAAGACACCCCGTCGAGATCGGCCCACGTTGTGCCTGTGCAGAATCGCTGAGGAACGCCAGTCGTTTGTTTCTTTATACCCCGCAATTCAGGGGGCAATGCCGCGAAGGCCTCAGCTAAGCGGTCGGGATGGCTTTTAGGGCCAAGCGCTTAAAGCGTGTGTCAAGGACGACACTCGAGTAAAGCCAGCCTGTATAGAATATGGGCGGCAGAGAAAACGGGGTAAATGGAAAGAAAGACCACCAGGTACCTCAAGTCCCCTCAAGCAAACTGAAGCAAACGTAGCAGCTGCTGAATCGGGACGGAGCGCGTGTATATACACACACACACACCAATCATCCGATTTCCCCCAACTTATTGACGATTATATACGTGTCGATTCTTAGTGTCCACATAGATTTTTCTCCAGCGTGAGAAAAATCCTCCAGAGGTCAGTGATAAAATAGAAGGCGACGGAGTTTACTTTGCTTCCCCAAAGTAGGCAGAATTTCGTTGGAGGGGGCGCGTGTTTTGGGAAAGAATTACTTGAAGTTCGGGGTAAATAAATACATAAAAACCATCCCAATGGAAAGTGTCTACGGACCGCTTCTCTTTTCATTGGAATAGGGACTGCTTAGTGCCAATATCCTCACTCGTGACCCCATGAAACTCAGTTTAATGGTCGGGTTTTTTGGGGGGGGGGGGCCCCAACTTTTTTTTTTTTTTTTGCTACTGCTGCTCGTTTAGGTGTCTTGATTCCACCCTAAAAGCACGCGTCCTAGCCATCCGAATGGAAGTTGCGCTGCAACACCTGGAATTTGATTCGGCTATTACTCAGTCCCCGTTTAGTTTACGTGGAGACCAAAAGCTTGTTAAGTTTTAAGCTTCTGTTGGGTTTAGGATTGCAGCCTTGCCAAAGGCGTCCCAAACACTTCTTGGGGCCCCAGAGGGAGTTCCCCACAAGCACCGCAGCGAGTCTCCACCCCGCCCCGCACGAATGCAGGTCTCCCTTCCTTTATTTAGGGAGGCGAGGTTCCGTTGCAGGCCTCCATCCGGGGCTGATCTGCAATGGAACGAAGCCACATGTCCATTGTCAAAGCCTCAGCCTGGTGCCAAGGGGGAATGCCTTTAGTTTGGTGGCAGGCAGGCCTCTCCCCCCACCCCCCTTTCCCTTAACGCCTCCTGCCTCCCTCGCGGGCAGCTCTTAAACTACGTGACGCTATATAACCGTCCTGAGCTGGGGGGGTGGGGGACAGAGGGGGTGGAGAGAGGAAGACAAGAATGCATTTCGTGGCTCGGCGTCCGGCCAGCTTCTTCAGTTGCAGCCGCTGCGCTCCACCGCTGGGCCTCAAAAGCCACCGCGCGCGATTTTCTCTGAGGAGCCGCCGCCGCCGCCGCTGCCGAGGGAGCGGGGGGGGGGGGGGGGCGGGATTTGATTTGATTTTGTTTTCCCAGCGTCCCGCCCCAAAGCCCTTCCTTCCCTCCTTGGTTCCATCTGGGAAGAAGCGGCCGAGGGGGCGTGTCTTCCCGCATATGCAGATGAGACGCCGTTGACGGACAGCTCGCCTTGCCAATGTCCCTCCGAAACTCTCTTTCCTCACACAAACTCCTCGCCTTCCCAAGCTCCTATGCCTGCTCCAAAATCCAAGGCTTGTCGCAGGCGCTGGGTGGAGGGGGGGGAAAGCTCGCCTTGCCTTACCGGCGGGCTCCGGGCGCAGGAGAGAGGGAAGGATTGCGGAGCCAGCGGAGACTGCTTACCCAGGGCAGCCCGGCCGAGGCTGGTTTTACTTCCCGCTCTCCCTTCTTTTGGACCTCTTCCCCGCCGGGCTTTGGGGAGACGCCTCCTCTTCCTCTTCTCTTTCTCCCCGCGCGCCTTTCTTGCCCAGATGCCCACCGCCGCCGCCGCCACCTCCTCCTCCTCCTCCCCCCGCAGCAGTGGGTGACTTCTGCGTGGGAAAGGAGGAGAAGGAGAAAGAGAGAGCGCGCGCGCGCGCGCCCAGTGAGCGAGCGAGCGGCTTTCCTCCGCCTCGCGCCCGGCTCTCCTTTTGGCTCCGGCTCCTCCTCGCCTATGGAGCGGACGCTGTGAGCTCCTCCGCGGCCGGAGTGCTCAGCAAACAGCAGCGGCGGCGGCGGCGGCGGCGGCAGCCTAGCCGCTGAAGCGCCAGCCGTCCTCCTCCTCCTCCTCTCCGCCCGGCGCTCAGCCCAGGCCCCCGCTTCCGTTCCTTTTGCCCGCCCGCTGACAGTCGGCCGGCCAGCTATGTCCTACCCTCAGGGCTACCTCTACCAGCCCCCGGGCTCGCTGGCGCTCTACTCCTGCCCGGCTTACGGGGCGTCGGCGCTGGCGGCGCCCAGGAGCGAAGAGCTGGCCAGATCGTCTTCGGGCTCGGCGTTCAGCCCTTATCCCGGATCCGCGGCGTTCACGGCCCAAGCGGCAGCCACCGGCTTCAGCAGCCCGCTTCAGTACTCCACCGACCCGGCTACGGGATTCCCCTCTTACATGGTGGGTAACTGACGAGCGAGCGAGCCGCCTCGGCGACATCCTTCACCACCGCCGCCTCCTCCATCTTCCTCCTCCTCCTCCTCCTCCTCCTCATCCATCGCTCCCCCCACTCGAATCTCCGAGACCATCTGGGCTAGGCTGGGGGATCGTGTGAATGGACCCCGCGCTAAGCTCCCCGTGTGAACCGAGGAAAGGAGTGGACAGCTATCTTCCTTCCCCTCGTCGGCTTTCTCTTTCTGGAAGCTTTCTTCCTTTCGTTCTTTCTTTCGTTCGTTCTTTCGTTCTTTCTTTCTTGCTTGCTTGCTTTTTGTTCTTCGCTTGTGCTACCTTTCGCTGCTTTTCTACTTTCTTCGGTTCTTCTCCTTTTCTTTGTATCCCCCGGGTTTTTAAAAACTTCCTCCTCCCTTTTCCTCTGTTTTTTTTTTCCTCCTTGGATTTCTCACTTTCCTTTCTATTTTATGTTTTCGCTATTTTTCTGTTAAGTTTCTTTTTCTTCTCTTATTTGTCTCTTTTTGTCCACTTTTATTTCTGATTGTGTAATTTATACGTTTCACTGGTTTAAAGGAGCCCAAGCCAGGAGCGCGCGCGCGGGGGGGGGTGTATGTGTGTGTGTGTGTAAGAGCGCACTTTTCACGCAGCTTCGGGCAGATGTCCACCACTTTCCGATTGCTGCAAAGTATGTTAATGTCGGCGTTCGTGCGTATTTTGTAGCTATTGCAAACCGATGAAGGATTAAAGATAGCAGAGCCAATTGGTCCTGGGAAAGTGGGGAGAAGGGTTCGTTTTCTTTCACTACGCACGAGATATCAGATCCAACGTCTTTGGCTGGAGTCTCTCTCCCCTCCCTCCCTTTCTCCCTCCCTTCTCCTCTCTCCCATAACCTTCGCCTTTTCTCCCAGCCGGGCGATCTTTATTTAGGATGATGAGAGCCCCAACTCAAATGCTCTTCTGTTTGACTTTCTCGTGGCAAAAGAAAAGCACCCGCAAGTTGCCAAGTCTTTCTTTTTTTCTCCATGGGTTATTTAAGAACATTAGGTAAAGTTGGAGCATGTCGTTTTCTTTCCTGAGCCGGCTATAAAACTTACCAAGTTGCTCAACTAATTTCCTTCCCTTCTCCATACTCTCATATGACGCAGACTTTAAACCAGCGTAATTTAAACGTTTAAAGGGTGAATTAAAATGCTAATTATATCGTATTTGACCAATTCGAAACGGTGCATATCTCCTGGTTTGCAAATTGGATTTGCAATGCATTAGCGGGCTGAATTGCTAAGTGGGGGGTTTTGTTGTCTCTCTCTTCCTATCTCTCCCTCCCCGCTCGCTCCCTGGGGGGGGGGGATAGTAGAAAGGAGTCTTAGAGAGGAAAATAAACAAATGTATTAAATAAATTGAAATCATTAAATGACAATTTCAGTAGTTTTTCCCGAAGGCGAAGGAATCTGGTTCCAATATCACCCGGGCTTGTTTATAAAGGAAAATGCATAGGAGTGTTCCCTCCCAAAATAAATCATTATATATAGTGCTCTGTTCTGTTCCCTTATATTTTAATAATAATACTATATTTGTGCCGACGACCAGTTGTAGAAATAGCTGAGTAAACACTTTGCTTTGGCGCTTGGCAGGGTTCTCCTTACGACGCCCACACGACGGGCATGAGCGGGGCCATCAGTTACCATCCCTACGGCAGCCCAGCCTACCCCTATCAGCTAAATGACCCGGCTTACCGGAAGAACGCCACGCGAGACGCCACGGCCACGCTGAAGGCCTGGCTGCAGGAGCACCGCAAGAACCCCTACCCGACTAAAGGCGAGAAGATCATGCTGGCCATCATCACGAAGATGACCCTCACGCAGGTCTCCACCTGGTTCGCCAACGCCCGCCGGAGGCTCAAGAAGGAGAACAAGATGACTTGGGCGCCCCGCAACAAGAGCGAGGACGAGGACGAGGACCTGGAAGGGGAGAGCGGCGGGATCCGGAGCAAGGAGGAGACCGGCTCGGACAAAGGGCGGGACAGCAACGAAACGTCGGCGGAGGATGAAGGTGAGAGTTCGACCACGGGGCGGGCGGGGTGGGGGTGAACGCGCCGGCGGCGGTCCGCCTGCTTCGGGATCGCTCCATGTTGGAATAGTTAGGAAGGAGGTTTCGGCGGCCGTCTCTTTCTGACGGCCTTTAGCCCCTCCGGTCTAGCCAACACTCAACACCCCGCCCCCCAAACAAAACAAAACAAAGCAAAAAATAAAAAATAAATCAGCACTAAGCGAAAGTTTCTGTGAGGTTCTCCCACCGGTAGGCCTCGTTTACTGCATCGGATAGAAGAGCTGGAGGAATAGTGGGAGCAATGCTGGGGCCCTTATGCTACCTCTTTCAAAAGCTTTAGGAATATAGTGTCTGCAGGCGGCAGGAAAGGTCGGCCTTACACCACTAAGAAGCGCTAAGAGGGGAAAGGCAGGGGAGGCCGTTGCGCGGCTCTCTTCTCGGCCAAGTTCCGGCCAGACGAGCCGCGGCCCTTCTCTTCAGAGTAGGGCAAAAGGCCTGGGGCCTTGCAGAGGGTGGCGTCCGGTTTAAGGCCTGGCGAGCCGGGTAGGGAGACGGGCGCTGGGGCGCGAGCTCTCGAAGAGTCATCCGAGCTTCGTGTTGGAAGGAGTTCCCTGGCGGTGGGCAGGAGAGCGGGGGGGGGGGGGGGGTTTGGGGCTGCTGGTCGCCCTGTTCCCTTGTCAGCTTCTCTGGTTCTTTGCTGCAGGGATCAGCTTGCAGGTGGATTCCCTCACCGACCATTCCTGCTCGGCCGAATCGGATGGGGAGAAGGGCCCGTGCAGGGCAGGGGACCCACTCTGCGAGTCCGGCTCGGAGTATAAGGACAAGTACGAGGAGATCGAGGAAGACGACGACGAAGAGGACGAGGATGAGGACGAGGAAAACGACGAGGCGGGCAGAGGCCTCCCCCCCAAGCCCGTCACTTCGTCTCCTCTCACTGGGGTAGAAGCCCCGCTCCTGGGCCACCCGCACGGGCAGGATTCTGCCCGAAACGCCGCCAAAGCTGTTCTGGACGCCCGGATCTCCCCCTCGGTGGCTTCCCAGACCACGCAAGCCAGCAAGCCCAAGCTCTGGTCGCTGGCAGAAATCGCCACCTCGGACCTTAAACATCCGCACTCGCATCCCCACAGCCACAGCCTGGGCCAGAGCTGCCCGCCTTCGGGCCCCCCGCCTTCCGCCCCACACAACGCTGCCTACTCGCCTTCTTCGCTCTTGGGGAGGCATATTTATTATACGTCGCCTTTTTATAGCAATTACACAAACTACGGGAACTTCAACGCCCTCCAGGGACAGGGCATCTTGAGGTACAACTCGACCGCCGTGGCCTCCAACGAGGGACTCAACCAAGCGGTCTTAACTGGCGGCGGCGGCGGCGGCGGCAGTGCGGCTCTGAAGGCGGGCTCGGAAACCTCGCTGAAAACCATCACAAGCCACCTCGAACAGCATTACAAGCCTCCCAGTTCCGATCCCAAGAAAGGTAGGTAAACTATTTCTCGTTTTTGCTTCCAAGGAAAGACAAACCCGCTTAGCCGACACCAGGAGCGGCCAAAGCGGGAGGCCTTCCCGATCACCCCCGAGAAGACTGGAGGGGGAGCGGAATAGACGGTCCAGAGATGGAGGAGTGGGGTGGGGGAGGCAGCTTTTCCATAGCCCGAGAAGGCAAAGGCAAAGGGCATGTCAACTCCTTGAGACGCCACTGGCCTCGCTTCTGGTTTGTTTTGTTTGGGATCCTGGGCTGCGATCCTAATCAAGATTCTGCCCGAAGCGCTGTTTCACTGAAGGGGAGAGGATCCTCCTTCTAGGAACTCATAAATGCAAATAGGGCCTTCCAAAATTAGCCAAACTAGATTGAGGGAACAAAAAACAAAAAATGAAATGGGGAGTCTAGGTGGTGAAAACTACTTCAAACCGGTTCTAAAACTCCTTTTAAAAAAAAGTTATGTCATGAATTTTTAATACCTGAAAAATGGAAAGCTACACAGATAGAATGCCAGCTTGGGTAAATACGACACATCTAACATTCCTAATTCTGGAGTCAATGTTTTGAGTAAATGTGATAGTAGTGTAGTAGCAAGAACACCCACTCATTTTCTGAAACAAACAGAAATTTTGGCAGTCTGTGAGCTAGATTGAGATCCCTCCGTGAGTATATTTAGTCCGCAGAAGGTCAGAGTGGGGTTATTAAACTCTGGATGCCGAGGATGGCAGCTTGTACAACCACCCCATCTCAGGGTGTCCTATCGCCCTACTACGAACCCTGATGAGCTTACTTAAGCTTTAAATGGGAGATCATTAGGAAAGGTGGTCTCCTGATGAGCAATTATGCCCCCTCCCCTTAAATCTCCATCAGCTGAGAAATGATGCCAGGGGGGCAGGCCCTTTCAAGCAACCAGCTCTGAGCTTTTGTGCAAGAAGGAGCTGTAGCCCAGAGTGAATAATCTAGTTAGCCAGCTGTGTCCTGTGACTAACTGACGCTTCTATTTTGACAGACCCCACTGAAATGTGCACAGTAGGAGTACAACCATACCTATAGAAGGGCAATCACACAGCAGCCAGGCAAGTAAGTGAGACCCTTTTTTTCTTTTCTTTTCCTTTTTCTTTCTGCCTTTTATTCTGTTGCACTAGTTAGGGGGCATCGTTTGGCATCAGGTCCTAAGACGCATTGCCCAGGCCTGTAAATTGGCTTAATGCTCATTTCTTGCTCCATTACCAAAGACTATGATTACCAAGGACCTCCAACTGCATTTTGACCCTTTTGTTTCACTTTGCAGAAAACTGTTTAGCTGTTTTATACGCACACCATCCCTTTTGGAATGGATACTTAAATTGGACTTTTTAAATGTTATTTGCAAGTTAAAGATATAAAGGAGTGAGCAATTATTGCACCAAAACCTCATTGAAATGATAGGTGTGGTGGGAAGAGAGAATCCAGCCAGAATGGATCTCATTGTCTTCCTCCACTATTTGAAGTAAGCATGTAAAATAATAGATGCAAGAAACCTTTGTTGTTATATTGCCAGTAGGAAATGCAGGAAAACTTCCTACTTTATTTATTTAATTCAGTTTAGGCATCCTCTGACTCCAATTGATTCTGGGTGGCTGTACAATAAGGTATCCACATAGACGTTAAATTTAAAGAATGGTCCATCAAAATAAGCCTTTAATTTATCTGATATACATTTCAAATAGCAGAGACAGACAATGAGATAGACCTTGGCCAGGTTCCAAAGAGTATCTGCATTCATTACCCATCTATTTCCAAGAAGCTGCTGCAGTTAATTGGGTTTTTAAAATAATAATAATCTTTTGATCAAATATTCTTTACTGCCTAAAAATAACCAAAACCCCATCTCGGTCCTTCTCAGGCAAGGTAGGAGAATAACCTTTTCACTTTACTGCCAGTTTTAACACATTCTGTGTAAATGAAAGATTGAGGATGATCTGGTGTTTTCCTTGGTCCACAGGTAGGTGTCACAATTGCTTTGAGAAAAGTCAACAAGCCATCATCTCTCCCCAAGCTAATCTATCTATCTCTATCCGTAACTCTAACAAAACTCTAAATCCGGATCACAACTTGTGCCACTGTATAAAAGAAGACCACAGAGCACTCTTAGATCTACAGACTCTCTCTAATTACTGAACCAGAATTTTGTTGGACATTAATGTGTGTTCGCTGGTATAGTCTAGTTTCCCTAATGTATGTGTGATTTAAAAAAAGGAAAACAAAAACGGAAAAAAAAGGAAATCTGTTTTTTCTCAGGATATCTTGACTTGATCACTTCATTGCCACGGTATATACATATATATATATATATATATATAAATATATAATCTATATATCTATATTCTGTAGGTGTGATAGGACTTATTGTACAAACTCTTTGTAAAAGATACACACAGTAGGGATTAATTAAAGAAACTGCAAGTACTTACAAAATGAAACATATTTGATATTTATTTTTGTAATGATATAAAATCTAGTAATTTATGCAAGTTGTATTGCAATGGAATCCCAAGTCTTTTGTAAATAAATTATGCCTGGTTTTTATTTGAAACATTGATGGTTATACAATCCCTTGTTGTTTAACAAGAATTCTTTACTAATTTATATCTATAATTGTAAATAAAACAGATTAGTCTACAACAAGGTGCTGCCTTTTTATTCTATTTTACTCATTATAAATATGCATATTTGGTAATTTATTATAATTTGCAAAGCATTACAGATATGTTATATCTTTTGAATTTATTTAGCAATGTGACTAAAACTTAAACTATTAGGAAAATTTTAAAAACTTCAACTTTAATCAATTTCTATAAATACACATATAGAAATAACCAACATTTTTCATACAAAATGATGTTTTAACCCACATTTGAAATAAACGCAGCTATTTTTTGTAATCAAAAAGTAAAAACACTGTAAGAAATCCTCCCAGTAAAAAATATTCTCCCTCATTTCAAGGGCTTTCTACACATTTCTATAATGCACTAATCACCTAAGACATTAATCTTGGGCTTTTTTTAAAAAAAAGGAAAAAGAAGCTCAACCGTTTTTTGTTTTTTTTTGCACTCCCCAGCAAATAATGAGAATTCCCACATAGTAAAATTTCAATAAAGAGACAAACAACCATTTATTTTCTTTTCCAAAGATAAATTGAGTGAATATAACTTACGGTTATGAAACAAGAATAATAGCTTCTTAGACTGCCCTTTAATCAATCATACACTTATTTTTCAAGAGGCTCATCTATTTTATTCCATGATTAATAATGTTCCGGCATGAGAGCATTATTAGATCCCAGCAGGAGAGATCCTGGATGCTTTTAGCTGCTTTGCGATGGTCAGTTGGGGTTCATTACGGGCTGATATTGAACCATTTATAAAATCTTGTCTAAACATCTGCCAGCTCAGATAGGCCGATGTGTCTGAAGATGGCAAATGGCTGGAACAGTTGATATTGACAAACGGGACTCTCTCCAGTGGCTTTTTGTTCACTGAAAATTAGTGGCCTCTGGCTCAGGGGCTTGTTAGAAAGGGCATTTGAAAGTGATCTCAGATAGTTCAGACTTCAGCCAAGGGAATGTTAACTGGATAAAGAATGTGGAGTTGTGAGAAAGAGAGAGAGAGAGAGGGAAAGAGAGAAAGAGGGCTGGTGGAAGGAGGGGAAGGCTGCAGCTATAGGAAGGTTGGAAACATTTTAGGCATTTGCAGTTTAGTCCCTTGGTGCTTAGAGCAGCTTAGCCAAAAGATGAGAGACACTGTTGGAACAAGTTGACAAATTTGCAGGAAGGGAGAGAATCTTCTTAACCCAATGGGATTCTTTTCTTTACCTGAAGTTCCCACACACATAAATGGCTTGGGTTTCAAAATAAATACGTTTTAAAGTACATCTTTGGATTTTAGTAAGGCAGTTAAATAAGTCCAATTAAATTAATCAGGCTAATCCTCGTTCCTAGAAGTTATTCCAACTAAGTGAAAACTGTTTACTGCTCATTACACAGACACAAATGAATTTATTGAAATGTTTTTCCCACTCCTTATTTCTTAGGGTGTCTGTGCAATTTTTTTTGCACTTAAGAAATAATTTAGAGTACGTGATATTTTATACTGATCTGCAGGAAACAGTAGAGGACCAGCCCATGGAGGAATTCACCCCGAAAGCTTCAGCTAAACAGAAATAAAGATGTGCCTGTTTTTTTTTCAATTTGGGTTAACATAAAAGGTGCTACGTTAGGTTTGCATCCCTTCAATTCATTTCAGTGGTAGATGGTACTATCGGAAATTTACTAATATCTCTACTAGCCCAGATTACAATGAGATTTGAATTAATAACACTCAGCCACGTGCATTATTGTGTGGCTGGCAAAACAGATTTCTTATTAGGAATGACATGTGGTATTAAAATAATTTCACATTTAAACACAACGTAGTGGTGTTTTCTTTTTAAAATCCAGGCTAAAACAGGTTGAAGAAAAGCTCTGCAATCTCCCTCCCCAGTTGGGAGTACAAATCATTTCTCCTAGTCAGATTATTGTGGAAAACGCTGAGACTTGGGTTTTTTTAAAAAACAAAAAAACTTTTTTTTATCCTGCCTTTATTATTCTTATAAATAACTGTAAGTCCTGAACATATCTAATACTCCTTCCTCCTCCACTTTTCCTCACAACTTCAACCATGTGGTGTGAGTTGGGCTGAGGGTGATGACTGGCCCACAGTTACATCCACTTCATATGCCTAATGTTGGACTAGAACTCACAGTTCCTTTTGGGGGGCCTGGTGCTTTCATTGCTAGAACAACCTGCCTCTTTTCCCTTTTTGGAGGCTCTTTATAAGGAAACATTTTTTTTTCCTAAGATCTACCACTTACATAATAGTTTCACCTCCACTTTTCTGTCTTTTGGCCTGTCTCCCTTCTTGTTATATTCCGGGTTTTTTTTGTTTTGTTTTGACAGGAAATATGCACATTCCATTTGGTTTTACTTTAAATTCATTTTGTGGCAAAGATTAGGAAATCTAACGACTTTAGAGGAAAAGTTGGAAGACTTGAAGCTGTGAACTGCTTCCTTCTTCACTTCCTCCTGCTCCTCCTCCTCCTCCTGCTCCTGCTCCTGGGACTGTCAGGTTTTAGCCGGTTTGGTGTAATCTCTGGGTCGAAGTGGAGGAAGAATGCCAACACGGAGCGGTCCCTAATGGAACCGCGGCCCCTCTCACCGTCCTTGCGGACCTTCTGCGGTGTGAAAGAAGAGCAGGATCCGCTCCACATCTACTATGGCTAAGATTACAGGGCAGTTCTTCTCAACTGGATCTGCACAATCCGGTGTGTGTGTGTATCCGCTGCGTTTTAATGAAGGTTTGATTTAGGAATTCTCCTCTAGATCCGAAGTTTCACTTCAGTCTCTGTCAACTCGCAGGAGAACTTTCTGAGGGATTTCGCCCCCTAATTAGACAGACCTGTACTCCTTTAAAAAGTCTGGAGACGAGGAAGGCAAGGACTAACGATAACATTAAAATACAGTGCCAAAGGACGATGTGGTATTCTCATATTTGGTTTCACATTTTTCCTCTCCCCCCTCCCCCAATGAGGGAGCCATTTAAATAACAGAATAACACAGATGGAAGGGACCTTAAAGATCTTCAAGTCCAACCCTCTGCTCCGGGAGAAAACCTTACAATGTTTGTTTCACACAAACGGTTGTCCACTCTCTTCTTAAATAACGTTTAAAGAACGAGTTGATTGTTGTAATATCTCATCGCTTTGCAGCCCAGACAGTGGCCCAAATTTTTTACCACCCGAGCCTTCTCCAATTTTCCTTTGCCTTCAACTTCTGTTGGGTTAGCACAACCCCGTGCCTCTAATTTTAACGATTAACGCTAGTTTCAGAGTCCGGTAGCCGCCTTCTCTCCCTTCTTCTGCCACTCTTGAGACTGGTTGGGTTGATTGTCCCAAAAGGAGGGGGATGAGCTTGCCCCCCCTCCAATTTTTCGCTGCTCTCTGTCCTGACCTTCAAAGGGCTGCAATGCGTGTTGTCCATAAGAGGAAACTTGTTTCTAGAAAAG